TTCACTTATTTATATTCAAAATTAGACAATGAATTATATTCAATAATATTTAGTTGAAATTTTCATATTCAAACGCATTAAGTTGAAAAGTACGTCACTATTATGCGAATAGTACAACGTAAAGAAAAAAGAATAAATAAAAAATAACTTGAATTAAACTTTAAAGCTTAGCTATCTAGTGAACCTTTTTTTTATTCCATTCATCATTAACCGTTTATATATTAATTAAAGCACTACCTTTAATACATTATGTTCTATACAATTTTTGCTACATATAAATCAATCATATAAAATAGTCAAGACCCGAATATTTTCAATTAAGTACCCGGATATATACATTGTATAGTCTGTTTTTTTTTTTTTTTTACACATCTTCATCTTTTTCAATTAGCCCAAATTTGATACGTTTCACATAATTATATGAAAGAAAAAAAAACTCGAAATAGATTGTGTATCTGCCTACATTAGTTATATACTTTAAAAAACAAAGAATAAAGAACTGGCAGTGATACATTTCTGCTTTATAATAATAAGAGCCAACTTAAAATAGAAATAGCGAACATTTAAATAAATATTACTTAAAGTTTATTCGGCGTCAATTATTATTTTTTTTAAATGAATGACTAATTTTGTTGATTTAAAATTGTACCAGGAATATAGTGAAGCGAAGTGCAATCCAAGTTCGAACACAAAAAATCTTGATTCTGATTGAATGCTGCGATCTAAAAATTTACGTTCCTGGTTTTTGTATATTTGTGTCGTGCAGCTAGCTACTTATAAAGTAAAGCACTATGTATTTAAAAAACGAAAAATTATTTTATCTATAATGACATACATGAGCGCCCACAGAAATAACATGATAATAATAATGGCGTTTTTGCATAAATATAAATCCAGTATAATAACTCGGAGTATGTGAGCATGAAAAATATAATAAAAGCACGTAAATACTACATGAAAAAATTATAGAAACATAGCATGGCGTTTCGGAGATTAGAAAGAAGATAACTAGATCAAGGCAAAGCTTTGTTTTTCCCTTTAAATATAATCTACTATAAAGTTTTGAAATCTACTATAAAATTACTTGAAATGATCTTAATAATACCAAAAAAAAAAAGAAAAGAATCAGAAAAAAAAAGCACAACCCTGCCGTATTTCCAAAAATCAATACTCATTTAGAACGAAAATGTTTTAATTACTTCATGTTAGGGATTTTATACACAAAATATGAAAATTCTTTTTTAATATTTACTTAAACTTGTTACCAAACCCAAAAATATCGGTTTTATCATGCCAAATCCGAACTTCCAACCTTTTTTATGCAATACTTACATCCTTTTACCCAGAATTTTAATTGACGCGTAATTTTTATTCGTGTGCAACATTTTATTTGGAATCAATGAAAGACCTAAAAATACACGGCTAGATATTTTAATTTAGCTTAAAATTTTATTATTACCGTATTGCGTTATTTCGAGTAAATACGGTATAAATAAAATGGCTATTGTTCTTTGGGGTTGTCTGGGTTAACGCGATGAATTTATATGAAAACAAAAAACTTTCAGCTTCTCTTAAGATTAACATATTTAAACACGTAAAACATCCAATCAAACTGGTACTTACATGTAAAGACTGGCATGATCTTTCCAAAAACAGCGATACAAGATCTGAATGGCTTATTAATAATTACGGGAAAGCACATGCCCTTTTTCATGCCGTGAGATTAGGACCCTCATTCATTGATTTATCGGTTGCTCAAGCTATTATTGCGAAAGGTGCAATTCTTTCGAGATATTTTATTCAAAGGCTGCTTAACTCTTTTGGAAGTTACGATTTAAAATTAATGGAACAAAAGATTACGCATAATGTTAAACAAATAAATGCAGAGCAGATCAAATCGTTGCAGAAAAAGACGCGTAAACCTTGGGCAAGTGAATTACCATTAGAAGTCTTTACGTATTTTCTAACAGTAGGACAAAGTCAATTTAAAGTTCATGAACTTTGTATGAAAGGAAACGATATGGAGCTTTTTCATTTCCTTTCTGCCGGCCCACATGTTATAAAAGACGCTCCAGGCATTTTACAAAAAAATATGAATACCATAGAAGACTTAATACTGTATAAAAAATTCATTCCGTTTCCTCCTAGGCCCCCTAGAAAATTTAATGACCTTTGCGCGCCACCAATTATTCATGAAGAATATCCTCCTAAAGATGGTTTTGAAAACAACAGGCAGCTTAATGTGATCGCGCGTGCCGTCTTAATTTGCAAGAATTTGGTTTTATTATGGAAACAAATCGGTTATTACGAAATATGTGAGGATGTAAACGACCTTGTAATTCAGGGTGCGTTTCTCTTGTTCTTTCCACCTACACCTTCAGCTGAATGGACTTTACCTGAAGTTGAAGTCATTACTGAGCGACTTTCAGAGCTAATTAGCATTGGATTTCAACTAAGTTATAGTATTATTGGTAAAATCTTTTACCTATTTGAAGATAGATTGGAATATATTGGCGAAACGTTAGTAGAATCGTTTATATGCATTAAGAAAGACACTCAGCAAAATTTCTTGGATACATGTTTAATCGAATCACTAAGATTTGAACATTGTTCAAACAAACCTCAAGTTTGGAATTTTCTCTATACACTCGCGCAAGATCCTGAATTTGCATTTATTAAGGCGTTTAATCATTATTTAAATAAAGATACTGCTTTTGAAATTAAAAAACTCACGTTACCATTAAAATTTTACATGTGGGCTCTTAAAAAATATGGTCCAGATGCACAAATTGCAAACCTGTGTTTTGAAGATATATTTAAAGCGCGTGTCAGCTTAGATCTACAATTGCATCAAAATGTCAATGCGGACATACCTACTGGAATAAACCAACACGGGTTTCAAGTAATTTGTAATCTTTTTAAGATTTATTGCAACACCAAAAATTTC